CCCCGAGCATCCCGCAGCCCAGCCCCTGCTGGCGGAAGGTGTTGCAAGGTTCCAAGTGGGCGGAGCCTCGCGCAGGACGACACGGGGGCAAGGTTCTAAGTGGGCGGAGCCTGGCGCTGCAGGATGGTGTTGCAAGGTTCTAAGGTGGGCGGGGCTGGGCCGAGCGACCACCCCAGAATTGCAGTGTGCTGTCCCACCTGCCCCTCCGCCTGCCGGGTAGTTGGGTAGTGCAGGCATAGGGGTTGTTTAAAGGCCAGCCTAGCCTTTGAAGAAGCGCCGAGCCTCATCACCAGAAGCAAACTTCCTATGTCCCAAACCACACCCAATGGATCCAGACCATGCCAGGACAAGAAATGCAAAGCCTGCCAACACATCTCCACCCCTACAATAACTACACCCCACAACAGAACCACCCCCATTCCTGGATCTTACACCTGCACCTCCAGAAATGTAACACATCTCAGTCAGTAAACAAAATGCCCTGATGGAAAATACGTAGGAGAAAGCAAACAACAGCTGCGCACCAGAATGAACACACACTGGAAATCTATCAAAGACAAGAATACACAACTACCTGTGGGGGCACACTTCTCACAAGACAATCGCTCCCTCTTGGATCTCTCAGTGCTTATCTTCAAAGGGAATTTACAAAACACCTTTTGTAGCAGCGCCTACAAACTTTACTTCATAAATCTACTGGATACTAAAAAACATGGACTCAATATAGGCATTGGATTTATCACACATTACACCCTGCCTGACATCTGGTTCACCAAGTACCTGCCAGACCTGAACTTTTACATTTTTCTTCCCCCACCTTTTTCTCGCTGCCCCCCATCACTTTTCTGCCCTTTGTGTTCCTAATTTCCAGCTATTTCCTTTTTCACAGACATCATCTTTTCCACCTTGAATTACTACCATTGTAGAGTCTCCCTTACTCACCTTTGGCTTTCTTTCTCCCTGCTTTTTCACTCTCCTTTCCCTGCTTTACCTTTTGTTTTCCTAATTTCTACCTATTTACATTCTCACTGACATCCTGTCACACTTTTAGCTTCTTTCATTCTTTGGAGTATCAAAACAGCAGAGACTTCCTATGCCTGAAAAAGGCTGCTTGTGCCTGCAAGCTTGCTAAGAACTTTTTTCCAACTACTCAGTCAGTCTAATAAAAGATATCACATCTACTCAAAGAACCTTGCCTGCCTATGTCCTTAGACCAACTTGGCTACAATTTAAAACCCAGTTCTCAGTTTTCATTCATTTTTTTAGAAGAAAATTCTCTCATTTTTTGAGAGAAAAAAATAGAGCAATTCTTCTGGTGCATTTAACACTATGGATTCCTACTTGAAATCTCTGGGTTTAGTTTTTGAATCCTGTAGCTGTTGGCACACCTAACAGTGCGAACATTGCATGGTACCCCACAGCACCCTTGAAAGATCTCAAGGCTCCCTGGGGTGCCATGGCATCTTGGTTGTGAATCACTGCAACAGAACAAGGATACCACCCTTACACTACACAATGGCCATGACACTTGTCAGCACTGCCAAGAGACCCCTTCTATCACTGCCACTGCTGCTGAGCTGAACCGGTGGTAACAAAGGTAGAAATTTTAGGAAAGAAAATCATTGTGGACAGAAAGTTTGCCTTAAAGATGTTCTGCTGCAAACAACCACATACATCTTTTTAACTAAAGTATCTTTAATCTGTTGGGGGCGGGGCATGAATTTTAAAACAGCCAGACCCAGAGGCAGAGTTCATCTCTGGTGGGAAAAGTCTAAGTGATCCCAAAAACAGAAAAGCATAGTACAAGAGGCACTCCTCTTCCTCATTAATTTTAAATGCTAGACTAGCATGTATGAAAAATTTTAGGAGGTGGAATCAGCCAGCAGGATTTATTAATGCTCATTAATCTGCTAAATAAATTTGAGGCATGAGGACAGTAACATTGTAAAAAGTAATGACTCATGTTGATTACATGAAGCTGACTGAAAACAAATCTTTAGCATCATCTTTGCATATACTAGTTAAGTTAAACCATTTGGAGAAGAATTTTTTTTTAAATCACACAGATTTAATAGATATAACTTAAAATATAATGCCACGTAAGACCATCTCTTCTTTTCTTTAACGTGATTATAGTGAAGATTTTTTAAAATACAAATTTGATCTTTCATTGGAATAAGTAGCCGCCTGCCACATCTGTCTTAGTTTTGCTGAATCCCTCTGTAACCTCATTTTGCACGGACATTCACCTAGATGTCCTTTGATCTAACTGGTTTTTCTTCCATATTTATTTTATCCTTCCTGTAAAAGGATTTGTGCATTCCATCAGATCCTAGTCTTATTTTTAAAGCCTTTTATTCCACAGATAACTTGAAAATAAACTCAGACTGTTAATTACAACAGGAAAAGTCTTAAATATAAAATGTCAAAATAGAAAAATCCATTGCCTTAATTTGTATTCCAGGGTCATTTAGTTCAAGATCGGAAGTCTTCTGTGACCCAGCATTCAGTGAGACAGTTTAAAGATAACTCTAACTTCCAGTTTAAACACACAGATAAAGGTCTTTACATTATGAAGAACTAGTAAGAGGAATACACATATTAAGAGCAAATATCAATAAAAAGTGAGCACTTATTTCTTTTGATATGGTCATCAGCTGCTTACCTTGAGACTGCCTAATACCAAAGCCAGAAATACTACCTTATATGACATGTTCTGAACAGATAAATATGAAAAAAAATCTATACCTCACAATATACCAGAAACACAACTGGTTGAAATTCTGGAATAGCACAAAAATAGCATTACTTGATTTTAAGCCCAAACAAAATTATGATTTGAGAGTTCTTTCATAAATGTCAGATAAACTTTTAAAGAAAGGTCTTGAATCAAAGTAGATTTTGAATGTGATTGTGTTATGAAGAAACAAACAAGTGTCAGTTTTGCTAACAGGTTTGTATATATACTTAGCTTCATAGTTTCATAGTTGGTAGGGTCTGAAAGGACCTAAGCAGATCATCTAGTCCGACCCCCTGCCATGGGCTTTATAAACACAAGTAGTGTCAACATGAGGGTAGTGATGATCTGTAAATTCAGCCATGTGTGTAGTTTTTTTGGTTTGGGGCCTATATTCTTAACTCTGCAAAGCATTTAAATGCATTCTGCACTTAAGTATGTGAGTAGTTGCGATGATTTCAATGGGATTTCTTGCAAGCTTTGAGATTTAAGATTGTAGCCCTTTATTCAAACTGACTACAGATGAAACGTTTAGAATGCCCTTCATCTTTACCTCCCAAGCTAAACATTAACTGTACTGAGAATTAAATATAATTTCTTACCTGTAAATCCTAAAGGCACAGCTATACTTGAAACTTACCTGCGCTAAGTGCCAGACAGTAAATATTACTCAAACAATACATACACATAACAGTTGAAGTCCTTTCACCTCAAATTACTGGCCAAAATCAGTGCTTGGCATTTTGATCAGGGGTCCAATGGTATACAGGCAGTCCTTGGACTTATGACACAACTGGTTCCTGAAAACCACATCTTAAGTCGAAACATTGTAACTCGGAACCAATTTTCTCATCAGAAATAATGTTATAAATAAGGGATTGGTTCCTGAACCAAGGCCAATACCCTATTTGCACCAAAAATACCCCAGAATTTTGTACTCAATCAATTATAGATGAGTAATATAGCTACATTAATGTATTTATATCATAAATAGCAATCATATTAATTTGGAAGGACTTCTTTGAGGTGACTTTGCTGGACTTTTTGAAGGGAGCTTGGTTGGACTTTTTGAAGGGTTCTTGACTGGAGTCTTCTCAGGAGTCTTGGCTGCAGGTTTTTCTGGAGTCTTGTCTGCTTGCTTAAAGAAAGTGTCCAAGGAAGTTTGGACCGATGTTCTCCAGGGAGATGGGTGACATAGCAAACTTGTTCACTGGTATGGCCTTGCATCAGACCAAGCATTGTAAAGTCGAAACTGATGACATGAAGTTGAAACAGGGTATCAATTTATAAACGCTGTAAGTGCAAAACGTTGTAAATCAAACGTTGTAAGTTGAGGACTGCCTGTATTTCTCTACTTCTGTGCTATATTTATTCACATACTTTTCATACAGAAGGGAATTGTGGAGCTCAGTGAGTGGGGGCGGGCCAGTGGCAAAACATAATTCCCACAATGCCACTTCTTTCATCCTAATCATCCATTTGGTGTTTGGGGCCAGACAATGCTATTTTTGAGGTTGTGTCGTGCAGCAGGAAGGACATGTTGATAATTGCTGTGGTCCTTATAGTGATGGTAACAAATGTGCTGCTGAAACTGTACCTGAGCTAGTGCATTGTCTTCAAACCAGGATGATAAAAGCACCTGAGTAGAAGAAAGCTGAAATCAAGCCTACATTTCACCTATATCCTGAGGTAGCATCACTCAGTGGACTGTCACTTTTGAATGCAGCCTGCCAGCATTGGTGACACAGGATAATCCTGAAAGACCTGGGTTGATTAGCAGTTTCCTGGAAAATAACCTCAACTATATGTATAACATGCTGAGCTAGCTGTTATGACTCAAGAAAGAGACCTTGGAGGCATTGTACATAGTGCTCTAAAAAACATCAGCTTAGTGTACAATGCTGACCAAAAAGCCTGTAAAATGTTGGGCATCATTAAAAAGGGAATTCAAAACAAAACAGAGAACATCATCATGCCACAATAAAAACCCATGGCATGCCCACTTCTTGGATACTGTGTGAAGTTGGGGTCACCACATCTCAAAACAGATATAGTAGAATTAGAAAAGGTACAGAGAAGGGCAACCAGACCGACTGGGGCCATGGAGCAGTTGCCACACTGAGAGAGACAAAAAGAAGCTAGGACTCTACAGATTGAAAAGAAGG